AAAATTTCCATCTGTCTGTTCCCTGTCTCTTCCTATTCTGATCCCTTTCTTTAATCCCCACGGTATCCTCTGGAGCTAATAACACTTCCTTGTCTTCCACTCATGTCGTCTTGGCTCTTGTGATTGAAGCTGCTTGATGTCACAATATATTACTGATTTGAAGCACTTCATCATCGGTGAAGGTTCCCAGACAAATATGAACGTTTGATCGATGTAACCTCACTAAAATACATCAATGACAAAGAGTATTTGCCATCATTAATTGATTTTTTTCGAGAAGTGCAGCTTTTACTGAAGAGAAAATTGTCACAATCGAGGGAATTGTGAAAGAGGTGGTTGAAATGGTTCAGGCACTGATATGAAAAATAGCTATAAAGAGTACCCTATTTATTATAACACAGAATCAGGTCAAACTCTAGAAACGTGGCCCTACTCCAAAGATCCTCTATCACATATATTGTAAGATTATAAACTCAAAAGGAACTTCTTCTATAAACATGTTTATTTTGCCTGCTTTCGAATGACATCGTTCTTCAAAGGGCGTAAATGTTGATGCTCAACTTTATGCCAAGATTGTTTACCTTATTCTTATACAAGGATTTCCATAACTGGTTTATTTATCAATTTGTAAATCTACCTGAGTTATAAATTTGTATATATCTTGGCTCTCATTGTACGTCAATATAATTGCACACATCTCACATCACACCTTGTCTTTACGCCCGTTGAAGAACGATGTCGTTTGAAAGCTAGCGAAATAAACACGTTCTATAGAAGAAGCTCCTTTTGAGTTTATAATCTTACAACATAGTTATGGTAATTGAAAGTTGATGTATTGATATATCACATATATTTGCAGATACCATGAAGAAGATAAAAGATGAGTCTAGAAACGAGGTCCTACTCAAGATGCTACCATCCAAATACAGGAACCATAAAGAAGATAAAAGATGTGTCTAGAAACGAGGCCCTACTCAAGATGCTACCACCTAAATACAGGAACCATAAAGAAGATAAAATATGAGTCTAGAAACGAGGCCCTACTCAAGATGCTACCAGCTAAATACAGGAACCATAAAGAAGATAAAAGATGAGTCTAGAAACGAGGCCCTACTCAAGATGCTACCACCTAAATACAGGAACCATAAAGAAGATAAAATATGAGTCTAGAAACGAGGCCCTACTCAAGATGCTACCACCTAAATACAGGAACCATAAATAAGATAAAAGATGAGTCTAGAAACGAGGACCTACTCTAGATGCTACCACCTAAATACAGGGACCATAAAGAAGATAAAAAGGTGAGTCTATAAACGAGGCCCTACTCAAGATGCTACCACCTGAATATAGGAACCATAAAGAAGATAAAAGATGAGTCTAGAAACCAGGCCCTACTCAAGATGTTACCACCTAAATACAGGGACCATAAAGAAGATAAAAAAAATGAGTCTAGAAACGAGGCCCTACTCAAGATGCTACCACCTAAATACAGGAACCATAAAGAAGATAAAAGATGAGTCTAGAAACGAGGCCTTACTCAAGATGCTACCACCTAAATACAGGAACCATAAAGAAGATAAAAGATAAGTCTAGAAACGAGGCCCTACTCAAGATGCTACCACCTAAATACAGGAACCATAAAGAAGATAAAAGATGAGTCTAGAAACGAGGCCCTACTCAAGATGCTACTACCTAAATACAGGAACCATAAAGAAGATAAAAGATGAGTCTAGAAACGAGGCCCTACTCAAGATGCTACCACCTAAATACAGGAACCATAAAGAAGATAAAATATGAGTCTAGAAACGAGGCCCTACTCAAGATGCTACCACCTAAATACAGGAACCATAAAGAAGAAATTGGGCAAATCCAAGTAACCAGGCCCTACTCAAGATGCAACCATCTAATTCTAGTTACCATAAAGAAAAAAAAAGACAAATCAGTAGAATCAACTAGAGAATTTTCCTGTTCTACGAACATGTCTAGACCACAGGATCTTTAAGGCCTTATTAAAGTTTTACCTAAATATAACTTAAAAATTAAAAGTTTAAAGTGTGAGAAATATTTTTTTCAATTTACCATATCATATCACGATATACTTAGTCTAGCCATAAATATTGTAACAAAACCAAATCAGTGATAAAAAATTTTATTTGTCCATGTGAAGTATTCAAAATACAGTAGTTGTTATTTGAATATCTCGTGCACACGTGTTTAGAAAAAAAATCGGAATATATTTGTTTTTTGATAATGGATTGGGATGTTAAAGAAACCGTATAGCTGTAATAGCCTTACACAAGGTAGGCCAAAGTCCTTCATCCATTTTTAAACTTTTACGAAATTTGAATATTACGCGTCAATATGTTTATCGAACCATTGAAAGGTTCAACAAGGCTGGCACTATTAATGACCTTGAAATATCTGGTCAACCGCACGTGCAATGAACGCAAGCAGTAAAAAAGCCATTCGCGAAATAACACAGGTCTACAAAAAAAACTTTTTTTTTTCGCACAAGAGAACCTGATGGTGTTTCTAGTGTAACTTTTCATGCTGAACTCAAAAATCTAATCAGAAATTTCCCATCACCCATGGTTTTTGCCTGACGGTCTTTTAGTATTGGGATAAATACATGCATCCAACATGAAAGAGACTTACGAAAACATGAAACTGCTTTTGAAAAAGATAGAATATTAAAGATAGGTTGGAAAATATGCAGCGATTTGAAAGTCGTTGCTCTCTTGCGTGGATTACAGCTTGGATATACAAAATTTTGTTGTTTTCTGTGTGAGTGGTATAGCAGAGATAGGAAAAGGCATTACATTAAAAAAATCTGGCCAAACCGTAAAATCTTTACTCCAGGATATAAAAATATTGAAAATATACCCCTGATCGATTCAGAAAATATTTACTTACCACCATTAGATATTGAACTGGGATTAATGAAGAACTTTGTCAAGGCAATGGATCGAAATGCCAGTGGATTTGCCTACCTAAAACAAAAATGTTCTAGTATAAGTGAAGCGAAGATTAAAGAAGGCAATTTCGTTGGACCTCAGTTTCGAGAATTGCAGCAGGATGGAAATTTTCAAAATAGTTTGAATGAAGTTGAAGCAGCAGCATGGAATTCCTTTAGAAACGTTTGCAAAAACTTCTTAGGAAGTGTCAAGGTTGAAAATTACCGAGACATAGTTAATGATCTGTTGCTTTCCTACAAGGCACTGGGGTGCAACATGTCCCTCAAGATCCATTTCCTGCATTCACATCTAGATTTCTTTCCAGACAATCTTGGCGCAGTTAGCGATGAGCATGGTGAGAGGTTTCATCAAGATATATCAAGCATGGAGAAGCGGTACCAAGGTAAATGGAGTCCCGCTATGCTTGCCGACTACTGCTGGACACTCAAGAGGGATGTACCACAAGCAAAGTATAGAAGAAAATCCATTGTCACTGCTTTTTAATAAATAAATATGTTTCGTTCATATATGCCTATATATTAACAAGATTTCCAAATTTCAAGTAGGTGTATCTCAGAAATATTGCGTAATAGAAAAAATCTAATGGTATATTTGGATTCAGGACATGTAGATAAGATGCTATTTCTTTGTGGACAAAGAAAAATATTTTTTTGATAAACCAGTTACGTGACATTGTTTACATTTTTTACTGTATTTATCCCAATACTAAAAAAAGACCGTCACGCAAAACCCATACGTGATGGGAAATTTCTAATTAGATTTTTGAGTTCAGCATGAAGAGTTACACTAGAAACATAATCAGGTTCTCTTGTGCAAAAATCTTGTTGACCAGTGTAATTTGTCGAAATCCACGCCGCAAACAAAAGATCGTAGCAAAGCAGATGAATTTAGCTCCAAGAACCGTTTCGAGGATAATCAACGAAGACCTTGGACTGAGAGCGTTCAAACGACGCACAGGTCATTTGATAACTTCTGCTCTTAGAGATATTAGAAGGGTTAGATCAAAAATGTTGTTGGCGCAGCATGATGGTCGGTGGCATGAGAGAATCCTTTTCACAGACGAGAAATTTTTCACTGTCGAGGAAAAGATTAATCGTCAGAATGATAGGATATATGCTTGTAGCTCTCTAGAAGCTTCTTTGAAAGTCAGAAGACTCGAAAAAGTCACCATCCTTCTTCTGTCATGGTTTGGTGGGGAGTTAGCTACCAAGGTGTAACAGATCTCCACTTCTGTGCCAAAGGGGTAAAAAATACAGCTAAAAACTATAAATAAGACATTTTGTAACAAATAGTAAAGCCTCTAAATACAAAAATGTTTAATGGAGAACATTGGATATTTCAACAAGATTCAGCTCCTGCTCACAAAGCTAAGTCAACTCAACAATGGTAGGAGACGAATGTTCCGGATTTCATAAAGGCCAATGAATGGCCCTCTGGAAGCCCTGATTTAAACCCCCTTGATTACAGTTTGTGGGCATATTTAGAGGAGAAGGTGTGCTATAAAAGATATCATAATTTGGATCAATTGAAATCAGCATTGGTGAGAGCAATGAAAGAAATACCCTTAGAAAAGGTGCATGCCGCCATAGATCAGTGGCCCGAACGTTTGAGATCCTGTGTCAAAAATAAGGGAGGATATTTTGAATAATTGTATAAATTTAAAATCTATGTTCTATTGGCTAATAAAATATGTATTTATATTCCATTAGTTTTTGTTCTTAATCATTTAATTTATAAAATTGTTTGTAACAGAATTTATGGCTAGACTGTGTATAATGCTTCATATATAAATCTCTCTATAAATAAAAGTCAATGTCTGTCTGTTTCGCGATAAACTCAAAAACTATTGAACCAATTGGTACCAAATTTTGCATGTCGCTTTTTATAAACCTGAGGAAAATTTTCGGCTACATTTTGATTAGTATTTTTGGGGTTTTCTTTTTTTTTTTTCATTTGAATAACTTTTTTTTTTACGCGGAGTAATCCGGAATGGAATGAATACCCAAATATGACCATTTTTTATAAGCATCTCGGTGGTTCAGTGGTAGAACGCTCGCCTGCCACGCGGGCGGCCCGGGTTCGATTCCCGGCCGATGCATTTTTTTTTTTACATTTTTAAAACTCATTTATATTATATATAATATGAATATATATTACTAGACGAATGGCCCGGGCAACGCCCGGGTTTTACCCGAGTGCGCATATACTTTGAAAACGTTTTAATTCAAATACTATTCGTTACAATTATAAATTGGCGCCATGGATGTCACTCTTGTGAAACGTCCCGTTCCAAACTGTGTGTTTTTAAAATGTTTTAATTAAAATACTATTCGTTACAATTATAAATTGGCGCCGTGGATGTCTCTCTTGTGAAACGTCCCGCCCCAAACTGTGTGTGTCTTGAAAATATAAAAATAAAAATGTGAATTTTCATAAAGATTTCATCATGTCGATTTTTTTTTTTTTGCATTCCACCTACTAAATCGATAGAGATAATTACATTTGCAACATGAACTTAGGTATATTGACTAAATAGAAAACTGCATAGTAATATAGATCATTTTTTAAAAGAACCATATCCTTTTTTTTTCAATAAAATCGAAACAAAAATTAACGATAAATAACGATAATTGCCTTAAAAAGAAATTGCCTTAAAAAAAAAACATTCGCGGTGATTTTTCTTGCATTCATTTATACAATTATTATATACGAATGACCCGGGCAACCCCCGGGTTTTACCCGATTAAATGCTTTTATTCAAATACTATTCGTTACAATTATAAATTGACGCCGTGGATGTCATTCTTGTATAATATATAAATGAGTTTTAAAAATTGTAAAAAAAAAAAAAAATGCATCGGCCGGGAATCGAACCCGGGCCGCCCCCGTGGCAGGCGAGCATTCTACCACTGAACCACCGATGGTTATGAAAATTCCCATCCGTGATCTTCAGACAAACAAACAAACAGACAGAATAAGGCAAATATATAAGTAGACTAGACGAATGGCCCGGGCAACGCCCTGGTTTTACCCGAGTGCGCATATATTTTAAAAACGTTTTAATTCAAATACTATTCGTTACAATTATAAATTGGCGGCATGGATGTCACTCTTGTGAAACGTCTCGTTCCAAACTGTGTGTTTTTAAAATGTTTTAATTAAAATACTATTCGTTACAATTATAAATTGGCGCCGTGGATGTCTCTCTTGTGAAACGTCCCGCCCCAAACTGTGTGTGTCTTGAAAATATGAAAATAAAAATGTGAATTTTCATAAATATTTCATCATGTCGATTTTTTTTTTGCATTTCACCTACTAAATCGATAGAGATAATTACATTTGCAACATGAACTTAGGTATATTGACTAAATAGAAAACTGCATAGTAATAAAGATCATTTTTTAAAGGCACCATATCCTTTTTTTTCAATAAAATCGAAACAAAAATTAACAATAAATAACGATAATCTTGTTGACCAGTGTAATTTGTCGAAATCCACGCCGCAAACAAAAGATCGTAGCAAAGCAGATGAATTTAGCTCCAAGAACCGTTTCGAGGATAATCAACGAAGACCTTGGACTGAGAGCTTTCAAACGACGCACAGGTCATTTGATAACTTCTGCTCTTAGAGATATTAGAAGGGTTAGATCAAAAATGTTGTTGGCGCAGCATGATGGTCGGTGGCATGAGAGAATCCTTTTCACAGACGAGAAATTTTTCACTGTCGAGGAAAAGATTAATCGTCAGAATGATAGGATATATGCTTGTAGCTCTCTGGAAGCTTCTTTGAAAGTCAGAAGACTCGAAAAAGTCACCATCCTTCTTCTGTCATGGTTTGGTGGGGAGTTAGCTACCAAGGTGTAACAGATCTCCACTTCTGTGCCAAAGGGGTAAAAAATACAGCTAAAAACTATAAATAAGACATTTTGTAACAAATAGTAAAGCCTCTGAATACAAAAATGTTTAATGGAGAACATTGGATATTTCAACAAGATTCAGCTCCTGCTAACAAAGATAAGTCAACTCAACAATGGTAGGAGACGAATGTTCCGGATTTCATAAAGGCCAATGAATGGCCCTCTGGAAGCCCTGATTTAAACCCCCTTGATTACAGTTTGTGGGCATATTTAGAGGAGAAGGTGTGCTATAAAAGATATCATAATTTGGATCAATTGAAATCAGCATTGGTGAGAGCAATGAAAGAAATACCCTTAGAAAAGGTGCATGCCGCCATAGATCAGTGGCCCGAACGTTTGAGATCCTGTGTCAAAAATAAGGGAGGATATTTTGAATGATTGTATAAATTTAAAATCTATGTTCTATTGGCTAATAAAATATGTATTTATATTCCATTAGTTTTTGTTCTTAATCATTTAATTTATAAAATTGTTTGTAACAGAATTTATGGCTAGACTGTGTATAATGCTTCATATATAAATCTCTCTATAAATAAAAGTCAATGTCTGTCTGTTTCGCGATAAACTCAAAAACTATTGAACCAATTGGTACCAAATTTTGCATGTCGCTTTTTATAAACCTGAGGAAAATTTTCGGCTACATTTTGATTAGTATTTTTGGGGTTTTCTTTTTTTTTTTTCATTTGAATAACTTTTTTTTTTTACGCGGAGTAATCCGGAATGGAATGAATACCCAAATATGACCATTTTTTATAAGCATCTCGGTGGTTCAGTGGTAGAACGCTCGCCTGCCAGGCGGGCGGCCCGGGTTCGATTCCCGGCCGATGCATTTTTTTTTACATTTTTAAAACTCATTTATATTATATATAATATAAATATATATTACTAGACGAATGGCCCGGGCAACGCCCGGGTTTTACCCGAGTGCGCATATACTTTGAAAACGTTTTAATTCAAATACTATTCGTTACAATTATAAATTGACGCCATGGATGTCACTCTTGTGAAACGTCCCGTTCCAAACTGTGTGTTTTAAAAATGTTTTAATTAAAATACTATTCGTTACAATTATAAATTGGCGCCGTGGATGTCTCTCTTGTGAAACGTCCCGCCCCAAACTGTGTGTGTCTTGAAAATATAAAAATAAAAATGTGAATTTTCATAAAGATTTCATCATGTCGATTTTTTTTTTTTGCATTACACCTACTAAATCGATAGAGATAATTACATTTGCAACATGAACTTAGGTATATTGACTAAATAGAAAACTGCATAGTAATAAAGATCATTTTTTAAAAGAACCATATCCTTTTTTTTTTCAATAAAATCGAAACAAAAATTAACGATAAATAACGATAATTGCCTTAAAAAGAAATTGCCTTAAAAAAAAGAAACATTCGCGGTGATTTTTCTTGCATTCATTTATACAATTATTATATACGAATGATCCGGGCAACGCCCGGGTTTTACCCGATTAAATGCTTTTATTCAAATACTATTCGTTACAATTATAAATTGACGCCGTGGATGTCATTCTTGTATAATATATAAATGAGTTTTAAAAATTGTAAAAAAAAAAAAAATGCATCGGCCGGGAATCGAACCCGGGCCGCCCACGTGGCAAGCGAGCATTCTACCACTGAACCACCGATGGTTATGAAAATTCCCATCCGTGATCTTCAGACAAACAAACAAACAGACAGAATAAGGCAAATATATAAGTAGACTAGACGAATGGCCCGGGCAACGCCCGGGTTTTACCCGAGTGCGCATATATTTTAAAAACGTTTTAATTCAAATACTATTCGTTACAATTATAAATTGGCGGCATGGATGTCACTCTTGTGAAACGTCTCGTTCCAAACTGTGTGTTTTTAAAATGTTTTAATTAAAATACTATTCGTTACAATTATAAATTGGCGCCGTGGATGTCTCTCTTGTGAAACGTCCCGCCCCAAACTGTGTGTGTCTTGAAAATATAAAAATAAAAATGTGAATTTTCATAAATATTTCATCATGTCGATTTTTTTTTTGCATTTCACCTACTAAATCGATAGAGATAATTACATTTGCAACATGAACTTAGGTATATTGACTAAATAGAAAACTGCATAGTAATAAAGATCATTTTTTAAAGGCACCATATCCTTTTTTTTCAATAAAATCGAAACAAAAATTAACGATAAATAACGATAATCTTGTTGACCAGTGTAATTTGTCGAAATCCACGCCGCAAACAAAAGATCGTAGCAAAGCAGATGAATTTAGCTCCAAGAATCGTTTCGAGGATAATCAACGAAGACCTTGGACTGAGAGCTTTCAAACGACGCACAGGTCATTTGATAACTTCTGCTCTTAGAGATATTAGAAGGGTTAGATCAAAAATGTTGTTGGCGCAGCATGATGGTCGGTGGCATGAGAGAATCCTTTTCACAGACGAGAAATTTTTCACTGTCGAGGAAAAGATTAATCGTCAGAATGATAGGATATATGCTTGTAGCTCTCTGGAAGCTTCTTTGAAAGTCAGAAGACTCGAAAAAGTCACCATCCTTCTTCTGTCATGGTTTGGTGGGGAGTTAGCTACCAAGGTGTAACAGATCTCCACTTCTGTGCCAAAGGGGTAAAAAATACAGCTAAAAACTATAAATAAGACATTTTGTAACAAATAGTAAAGCCTCTGAATACAAAAATGTTTAATGGAGAACATTGGATATTTCAACAAGATTCAGCTCCTGCTAACAAAGCTAAGTCAACTCAACAATGGTAGGAGACGAATGTTCCGGATTTCATAAAGGCCAATGAATGGCCCTCTGGAAGCCCTGATTTAAACCCCCTTGATTACAGTTTGTGGGCATATTTAGAGGAGAAGGTGTGCTATAAAAGATATCATAATTTGGATCAATTGAAATCAGCATTGGTGAGAGCAATGAAAGAAATACCCTTAGAAAAGGTGCATGCCGCCATAGATCAGTGGCCCGAACGTTTGAGATCCTGTGTCAAAAATAAGGGAGGATATTTTGAATGATTGTATAAATTTAAAATCTATGTTCTATTGGCTAATAAAATATGTATTTATATTCCATTAGTTTTTGTTCTTAATCATTTAATTTATAAAATTGTTTGTAACAGAATTTATGGCTAGACTGTGTATAATGCTTCATATATAAATCTCTCTATAAAT